TAGAATAGAATAGAATAGAATAGAATAGAATAGAATAGAATAGAATACTTTATTGGCCAAGTGTGATTGGACACACAAGGAATTTGTCTTGGTGCAAATACTCTCAGTGTCCATAAGAGGAAAGATACACTCGTCAAGAGTCAAGAATCATATGATGCAACACTTAATGATAGTCATAGGGTACAATCAACAATCAAATCATACTAGGAAATAATCAATATAAACCATAAGGATACAAGCGACAAAGTTACAGTCCTACAGTCACAAGTGGGAGGGGATGGATGATAAGGAGTGATGAGAAGATTAACAGTAATAGTAGTGCAGACTTTGTAAATAGTTGGACAGTGTTGAGGGAATTATTTGTTTAGCAGAGTGATGGCATTGGGGAAAAAAACTGTCCTTGTGTCTAGTTGTTCTGGTGTGCAGGGCTCTACAGCGTCTCAAGCGTTCTATAGTGCTCAAGCAGGAGAATAGAGACCATCTAGACCATCTCAGACAAGTGACTGTCCAGTCTCTTCTTAAAAGCCTCCAGTGATGAAGTACCCACAATAATGAAATATCTGCAAGAAAACCAAGATGAGAGAGCTCTAATGACCCAACAGATGTGTGTGGTTTCCCCCTCCTTCTTAACCGATTAGTGCAGGGCAAAAGCCACAGCGAAGGACAGGACAAAAGCTAGAGTCAGAAGGCCATGCTTCTGAATCCGTCTCTTGTATAATTCCATGAAGAAGGCTTGTCAAAGAGGGGAGAGAGTTACCAATTTAAGCTCTGCCCTCAGCCTTTCTTTTCCCCCTGCCCTGAGTCTTCAGATTTCCATTTTGGGCTCCTCTCAAATGGAATTGGCCTCTGGCAGCTGGAAGTCTTGATCCAGCTGATCAAAAGAGCTGACCCGGCCTAAATTTAGATGACCTCTGTTATCTAACAAAAAAGAAGGGTCCTTTGGTTTCAAGTGATCCGAGACAAGTCTCCCGCTGCCTCTCTCCGTATCCAAACCCCGGTTGGGTTGCCCGAGGGCTGCAATTGAGCTGGCGAGCAGAGATGACAATGGAAAGAGCTCTGGTTTATGTCAAGGGCAGGGCAAACAGCAGAAGCAGCTCCTCTGGACAAGACTTCCAGCGATTGAAAAGGCCCCCAACTGTCTGGAAGGACCGACTTGTCTCTCTGAATTCCCCTTAGCAATGGGGCAGGAATTGACCTCTGGGCAGCTGCTCTGAAAGCAGGGGTCTCCAACCATGGCAACTTGAAGCCTCGCGGACTTCAACTCCCCGAGTTGTCTCAAAGTTGCTTTCTTCTCATGGCCCTGGTGGAGACTGACTCTGAGGGAGAAGAGGAACAGCCAACAGGGAGTGGGAGTGGGGCTCCGGAGGTGGTGGAGGAGGCTGGGGAAGGGCAGAGGCCAGCTGAGCAGTCAGAGGAGGACCCAGGCCCATCCCCTATCCGTCCCAGAGCACGCAGGGAGGAGAGGATCAGGGTGAAATGTGCTCTACTCGGGAGGAGAGGGCCACGATCCTCTTCATGGGTTGCAGGTGTGAGATTTGCATAAGAGTTTGGACCTGCGTGCCAATTAGCGTTTCATTCCTAAAGAAGGTTTATCTTGGTTGGCGTTCTTCCAACGGACTGTACCTGGTTATCTTCCTGAAGTTGGCAGTTATCTATCCTGGTCTGTCGTGGAACTTTATTCAGGGCAGGTTTTTTTTTGGTTTTTTTTGCTTCATTATCGGCTCTTTGCATTTGAATGGTGTTTCTTTCCCTTGAAATGTTAGTTTGAAAACAGATTACTCCTCCACTGTGAACAATTAAACAGTGAAGCCAAGTTGAAGGTATTAAAGGACGTTTATTCACTTTTGGTTTTCGTTATATTTCCGATATACTCTGGGTCATCACATTTCTTCTTCTTGAAGGGAAGCTGATTTTGGGCCTGTTTGAGGCCGTTTTCATCCTCCCGGAGGCTCGAGGGAGGCCTCTGCAGCCTCTGGAGCCCCAAAAACGGGCCTGTTTCGGCACTTTCTGGAAGGTCCTTTTTTCAGCCTCCCGAGGCTGCAGAGGCTTTCTTCGAGTTTCCGGGAGAGCGAATATGGCCTCAAATGGGCCAAAAATCACCTGGGAGGCACGTGCATGCACAGTGCAGGTAAGTTTGGCTGGGGCTTGAGCGCCTGCACAAATGGCTCTGCATGCCACCTGTGGAACACGTGCCGTAGGTTCCCCATCACAGGTCTACTTTATTAGTCCCTGAGGTCTGAAAGGTTGGGGACCCCTGGTTTAAAGGCTATTGGAGAACGCTTTCCCCCAGTTGGCTAGCATTTGTGTTTCAGGGCAAATGCGGATTCTACGTTTCCTTACTTTAACATCCACGTCCGCTACTGATAAAACCGTATTTAAAGAAAGTAGAAGAAGAAAACGAATAGAGGCTGAAAAGAAAAACAAGAAAAGAAACAACCCTTAACAAAGGAAGCCCTCGGAAGGCGTTGCTATCCCAAGTGGGCCTTCATGAAAGGACTGACTGGATGGGGGAGGGGCATGATTTGCCGGTTCTCCAAACTGCACAGAATCATAACAACCGGTTCTATAAAACCAGTCCAAACCGGTAGAATCCAACCCCTGGTAGAATTGAATTGAATTCTTTATCGTCATTGTATGTATATACACAGTATACATACAGCGAAATTCACAAGAGACCCTATACCATTCCAGATAAGTGACTGTCCAGTGTCTTCTTGCAACCTGCAATGTGCTTCTCCAGGCTGCCTCTAAAACCATTCCATGACATCTAAAGAATCTGGAGACGTTCAGGATTTCGCATGCTGGGTTGTACATATTTCACGTTGACTGCCCTTAACTTCGCCAATTGCTTTCCGTTGTGCATTCAGACGGATTGCTGTTGTCTTGTAGTGGGAGTGTGTAACCTTCGACCTCAGGGTGGCTGGTGAACCCCCCCCTCCTCCCAACAAACCTTGAATGAGGGCCTTAGAAACACGCCGCCCCCCCCCCCCCAGGTTGTCACAAAAATTCAATTCCTATAGTGGCAAGAGGAGGGGAATGATTAAATTGACAAGGAATCTTATTCCCCACGCTTCTCTTACTGACCTGAACTCAAATGCCGCTTTTGCTGCTGCGTTCCTTCCTTGGAATGTGTGCCCCCTCTTGTGCCCCTTGGAGAACAAGGGCTGGCTTTGTCACCAAAAGTGATGACGTCCCTGTGGGTTAGAAACCATGAGCGTTTTCTTCTCAGAGCGCCAAGGACTAAATGTCAGCGTTTCAAGTAGCAAACGAAACTCCGAGACAGGTAGATTCCTCAAAGAATAGTTTTATTGCAAGGGTCTTCAAACTTGGCAAGTTTAAGACTTGTGGACTTCAACTCCCAGAATTCGGGAATTCCATCCATTATTCCTTGTCTGGCCTTCAGGTGCGTTGGAAAATAGCTTGGCCCCCAGAGTTGGAAGGGACCTTGTAGGTCATCTGGAGAATAAGTTGACCCCCTCCTGGAGCAGCCCCTCAAATACTGGAAGATGCTCTCCTGTCTCCCCTGGTCCTTCTCTTCCCTAGACTAGCCAGGCCCAGTTCCTGCAACCGTCCATCGTATGTTTTATCCTCCAGTCCCCT